AAAAAAAGAGGAAGGTTGGCAACAGATGTTAGCTCAGGGCAAATCTTCCTCACCAAAAGAAAAAGAAGAGGGCAGATGAGAAGCTAAGTCTGAACTGAAGAAGTGAAAGGAGTGTGTATGAACCAGGAGTTCAAGAAGTTTGACAAGAAAGAAAAGCAGAGAGGGGTGATTGCTTACAAGGTGAGTTGGGTGAAAATAGGTGTGCTGCTTAAGGATCTGGTCTGAGAGGAAGTGGCTAGTGGGGTGAGAGTTGTTAAAGATACTGGAGAGAAGGAATAACTGACAGGGCAGCTGGAGGAAGGAATTGATGAAGGAAGCAAAACAGGGTGGGGTCAGGAACACAAGTGGAGAGATGTGTGTTAGAAAGGAAGAGTGACAGGAAAGGGGAAAAATAGCGAAAAGGAGAGTTGGAAGACACCAGGTCTGATGGCCTCTATTTTCTCCATGGAGTAGGAGCCTGGGTCACCTCTGAGAGTGAATGGGGCAGGGGTTGGGTGAGAATGCTTTGGGAGTAGTAATGGTTTAGAATGGTCCCCATAATGAAGAGAAGCCTGCAGGAAAAATGAGTTGCTGAACAACTCTAATGGCCTTGCAAAATTTGGTACAACTAGGAGGGGTGGCGATATGTTTTTTCTCACTTATATAGTATTAATTCACATTTGTATAATACACTTTATAATTTACACAATGCTTTTCCACATACTGTCTTATTCTGTCCTCCAGTAGCACTATGAAACAGACAGATGCCTAGATGCATTATCACACCTTCATTTGTCTTTTCTTTCTCCTTTTTTCTTACAGAGAAAGTAGTCAATCATTGTACAAGTATTTATTATCTACTATGTGCCAGGCACTGTGGATTCAACAGCAAATGAGGTAGACACAGTGCTGCTCTCACCAAAATTAAAGTTTACTTGGGGAAGCAGACAAGTAAACAAGCAATTACAATACAAGTGTGATCAGTATTAAAATGAGGGAAATAGATGGTTTTATGAGACCACATAGTAAGGGTACTGTATCAGCTGGAATTAGGTTCAGTTGCATATAACAGAAAACCCAAGATAACAATGGCTTAAGCACACAAGAGTATATCCTCATGTAAAAAAAGGTTAAATATAGGCATTCTAGGACTGCTATCGTGACTCCATGAAAACGTGAAAAACCAGATTTCCTTTTATTTTTCTCTTCTGTCATCATGAGTGTTAGCTTTTGTTTTCAAGGTTGCCTCCTTGTCCAAGATGGCTACAGGGACTCCAGCTATCATGGCAAAATTCCAGCAGCAGGAAGGAAGAAGGGAAGAAGTGCAAAAGGGTGCATTTCCCAGCTGAGTCAGCAGCTTTTAAGGAGCCTTCTTTGTTGTTTTGCACAACCTTCCTTCTTACATCTCTTTGGTTAGAACATAGTCAAATGGCTACTCCTAGCTAGCTGCAAGGGAGTTTGAGAAATGTAGTTTTTATTCCAGGTAGCTATGTGCTCAGCTTGAAAAAGGGAAATAATCAAGTTGTTTTACTAAGGAAGAAGAGGAGAACAGACTTGGGTAGGCAATTCACAGTCTCTGCCATAGATATCCAAACCCATCTAGGGTGGTTGGTGAACATGTACAGGAAATTAAAATTGTTTACTGGTTCCCCAGTAACGTCATTTTACCGACAAGTGAACTGACACTCAGGAAGGTAGTAAACACTGCTCACACAATGAGTAGCCAGCATAGCAGGAACGAAGTCTTCATACTCCCCAATCCAGCATTCTTTCTCTTGCACCACTGCTTGTCACGTGATTATATGCATTTGGTATTTGTAGTTCAACTAATAGACAAATTTAAGATTTAGAGCTTTACTTCCAAATATTCTGAATATTCTAAATCTAGGTAGTATTGTATGTATTATATTAAAGTCCAGAAAGATTAAGAAGTTAGTGGGATTTAGATGGGTCCACTGAAAAGCTTTTTATAATGGATTTAGTTTAGTTTTTGTTCAGAAACTCATTTGGCTTTTGAGACACAGTCATTTCTCAGTGTTTTGCAAAGTGTTTGCAAATTCTTCCCACCATAGGACCTACCATTATATCATGAGGAGCACTGGTGAAGGCTATTCCTGAACACCATTTATTTTAAAAACAAACCTTTTCCTGGTAAAAACAAATGTTTCTCCATCTTAGCGTTGTGATATATTTCATCTTAGGAAATCCATGATGGAATGAAAGTAGTGTAGTGACAAAGGCTCTGAACTGAGAAGCAGGGGGTGTGTGACTTTGGGCAAGTCACTTCTCCTAGCCATAAAATAAAATAATCACTTTTTAAAAAAATGAGTATGAGAATAAATTAGAGAAAAAAAGGTAAATGCTTAGACTGAGACATTTGGAATAAGCAGGTAATGTTAAACTGTCTTTCAGTCATTAGCTTAATTTTCTTCTCCTTCATTGTCATAACTTGTTTGGGGATTTCCTTCTTTTCCTGACCTTTTTACCTCTGAGGGGAAGATAAATATGCAATGGAATCATTAAGAGCTGAAGAGCAGGAAAGGGCCCAGATGAGGCCTTTGCTAGATAATCAGCCTGTGACTTTCATTGTCTCTTTTTAGTCTGAGTCGTTCAATAACAACCCTCAAGAGGGTGTTTACTTCCTTTTTCCTGGGTATTTTTCCTGAATATGTGATATGCTACTGCAAAGTGAACGTTGTTTCCTTGGCATGCTCTCATATTCCTAACATTCAGGCCCATCATGCCTATTATTACCTGAGAGTGTGTAAATTAGAGGGGAGGATGGAGGAAGAGAGGGGAGGAGAGAGAGAAAGACTTACAAAACTGGCACAGTAAAATTTTATATTTTGCACACCAAACTTTTAACCATAGAGTGTTTAAGACCTAGAGAAGTCACGTAGTCCTGTGGTTTTCAGATTGTTTTCCACAGAACCCAGTGATGTGGCAGGGCCAAGTGGATGGGGCTCCTTGGAGTTAGGAGCATGTACCTTGAACACTGTTGTAAAGATCAAATGAGGTTATGTCACTCCTCTAGCTTAAAACTTTTCTGGACTCCTCTTTGCCTATGGAATAAAGTCCAAGGTCCTTAGCTTAGAATACAAGCCAGGGGCCAGCCCTGTGGCCTATTGGTTGAGTTTGGCACACTTTGCTTCAGCGGCCTGGGTTTGGTTCCCAGATGTGGACCTGCACCTCTGTTTGGTGGCCATGCTGTAGTGGTGACCCACTTGCAAAATAGAGGACGATTGGCACGTGTGTTAGCTCAGGGCAAATCTTCCTCAAGCAAAAAGAGGAGTATTGGCAGTGGATGTTACCTCAAGGACAATCTTCCTCAGCAAAAAGAAAAAAAAATACAAAGCCCTTCATGATCTGCCCACTCTGTGCCCACACGGTTTCTCCTGTTCTTTTCCTCATACTTAACATTCCAATAGTACCAGACTTCTGCTGCTTTCCTGGACTTGGCAGGTTTCACAACTCTCTGCATTTGCTCCTGATGTTTCTTCTACGTAGAATGCTCTTTCTCTCTTTGTCCAGCATTCTTCCTTGTTCCCCTCTCAGTTATCCCCAGACTTAAATAGCTACCCAACCCTATCCCGTTACTCACTGTCCTTTGATTCTGCTCCATTTCTGGTAAAACACCCATATGATCTAGAACAATATGCTTAATGTATTGTATTGTTTGTGTTCTCTGCTTTCCTCACTCTGCACACTCTCCCCGGGCAAGCTCATGGGCTCATGTGGCGTCAGTCAGTAAAAGATCTTCATCTCCTGCCCAGGTCTCTCTCCTGCACCTTCAGCCAGCCCGCTGAAATGGCCACCGCAGAGCTTCCTTAGAGTGACACACAGCGCCTCGGATTCACAACAAAATGCCTCAAGCTAACTAATCCTACCCTCCAGCATGTTCCTCTTCCTTTGTTCTCATCTCAGTGAAAGAAACCCAGTTGCCCCATCCAGAAAGCTGGGCATCATCTTTTCATTCCTCTCTCCTCCACATCCAGTCATTTCACTTTTGGCAGTTCTTTCTCCTGAAATTCCTTGCTACTCCATCCTCTTTTCCACATCTCCGTTGCAACAAGTAGCTGCCCCTTTTTTGCCTAAATTACTTACTAGCATTCCAGGGCCTCTAGAACGTTGCTGTCCAATAGAAATATATGTTATTTTTAATTTTCTAGTAGCCACATTAAAAAAGGTAAAAAGAAACAAATGAAGTTAATTTTCATAATATATTTTATTTAAACCAATATATCCAAAATATAATCAATTCAACATGCAACCAATATTTAAAATTACTTACTTGTTTTTAAACTACTTTATTTAGGTGTGATTAACATCAAGAAAAGCTATATACATATACTGTATATAACTTGATGAGTTTAGAGATAAATATATACTCATGAACCCACAATCTAGCCATAAACATGTCTATCACTTCCAAAAGTTTCCTATTGCCCTCTTTGTTTATGATGATGATGATAATGATGATAAGAACACCTAACATAAGATCTACCCCCTTAGCAAATATTTGAGTGCAACAATACAGTGTTGTTAACTGTAGGCACTGTGTTGTACAGTAGATCTCTAGGTCTCACTCATCTTGCTCAACTGAAACTTTGTACCTCTCCATTTCCCCCTCCCCCAGCCCATGGCAACGACTGTTCTACTCTCTGTTTCTATGAGTTTGACTATTTTAGATAACTCTTATAAGTGATATCATATAGTATTTGTCCTTCTGTATCTGGCTTATTTCACTTAGCTTAATATTCTCTAACTTCATCCATCCTTTTTTTGAGGCTGAATGATATTCTATTGTTCATATGTACCACATTTTCCAATATAAAAAATTATTAATGAGGTATTTAAATTCTCTTTTTTTAAATATTAAGTCTTCAAAAATCAGTGTGTGTTTTACACTTAGAGCACATCTCAATTTGGATGGCCACATTTCTACCTCTAAATAGGCAACTATAGTTAGTGGCTACTTTATTCAATGTCACAGCTATAAAATAGAGAGCCTGAAGCAAGGATTAAAGTGCTGACATTTTCTTTGGTAGGTTCCAGCCCAGAGCAGTGAGGGTAAAGGAAGAAATGGTGAGGCTAAATGTCGGGTGAAAATGTGATGCAGTGCACTACTGTGCTGTTCACCACTTCACAACTACTGCAAAGACACACAGCAGGTTGTTCATCAGGCATGATTCTCTCCCGTCTTCTCTTCCCCATCGATCAAGCTTCACCCCAGGGGAAGCCAGCTGCTCTGCACCTCCTTCAGTCCTTTGACAGCTGTTGAGAAAGCAGTATGACATTTTACCCACGTCCACAAGTGAAGAGTGATCAGCCTGGGTTAAAGAGCAAGTTAGAAGAGGTTGAGAGCCTCTTAGAGTCAACACTAGATTTGCGTCCAATACAGTGACTGAGCTTTTTGACTCTGGTTTTGTCTCTCTCCAGTACATTGTCTATACTGTACTCAGGTGCTCTGGCTAGACGCAAACCTGGCTTTATCACTTTGCTGTTTCAAAACCTCCGATGACTCCTCCTTGTTTTCAGGATAAGGTCTTGTTCAAAGCTTTACTTGATCTGGCCCCGCCTACGTTTCCAGCCTCCAGTCTCAGCCGTCTCCTGATCTGGCCCCGCCTACGTTTCCAGCCTCCAGTCTCAGCCGTCTCCCTCCCGACTTGAATGATAAATACATTGCTTACCTGTTGCTGGGTAACAAATTACCCCAAACGCAGTGACTTAAAACAACAATAAGCATTTGTTACCTCACAGTCCATGGGTTAGGAATTTGAGACTAACTTAGCTGGGTGGTTCTAGCTTGAGGTCTGCTATGGGATTGTAATCAACATGTCAGCCAGGGCTTTGGTCATCTGAAGGCTTGACCAGGCTTGAGGGATTCACTTTTAAAGGTGGCCACTTGCATGGCTCACAGGTTGACACTGGCTGTTGGCAGAGGCCTTAGTTCCTTTCTATATTGGCATCTTTAGAGGACTGCTGGAGCGTCCTCACAGCATGGTGGCTGACTTCCATCAAAGAAAGTGATTCAAAAGAGAGCAAAGCAGAAGCCACCATGCTTTGTTTTGTTTTGTTTTTTAACACGGCATTGGAAGTCACACACCATCATTTCCATAATATCCTGTTGGTTACAAAGGTCAGCCCTGGTGGTATGGGAGGGAACTACGCAGAAGACAACCATTGAGGGGCCATATTGGAGGCTGGCTACCACTGAATGATGCATCCATAGAATCTCTTTAAGTTCTTTTGACATGCCTTGCCTTGTCTTTGAGCATTCCCACATACTGTTCTTGCTTACCACAAAAGAATTTTCTCTTCTGTTTTTCTTCCCCTTGTTTGCCTTTCTAACTCCTGTTTATCCTTCATCAATGGCGTCCTTATTGCATGCTGTCAGAGTTCCCTGTCTTTCTCCTGTCATAGCACTTATCACATTTTATCATAGTTGCCTGTTTCCTGGCCTATTTCCCCCATTAGAGTCTGAGTTCCTGAGGGCACAGCATGTCTTTCTGGTTCATTGTTGCATTCCCAGTGCCAAGCCCAATGCTTGGCAACACATTGCAGGTTCTCATTAAATAGTTGTTGGTTGGAAAAATGAAAGAAGGGATAGGCGAATGGATAGATGAATGATTTACCAAACATTTTGTCTCTTCTACTAGACTCTGAACTCCCAGAGAACAGTACTTTGATCTTTTCGTTTTTGTATCTCCAGAGTATAACATAGTGCCCAGGAGATAATGGGCCTCTAATAAATGTCCCTTTCTCTTTCCCCCCATTCTTTTTAATGGAATAAAGATTTTGAGAGATTCAACATCTCTGTGGGTCTGTCATTAGTGGTAAATCTTATTTACAAAAATTCGTCTCTTGATTATTTCTTATTTCAATTATTGCTGATATTCCCTTATAAATCAATATTGTAATAAGATTTTGGTTTTAAGATTACGGTTTTAATAACTATAGCAGTGTTCATCCAGCCTTAAGTGGGTACTTTGAACATGGAATGTGTTTTGTGAATGGTGAATAAATTTAACATATTGATAAGTGTTTTTTTACTGAGTAACTGTGGTGAAGCTTCAGATTGTATGAGAAGTGAATCGTTTTTCTTAGATCTTGGTTCTATTAACACAAGGAATTACTGACATGTAAATTGAAATAAATTGTTTCTTTTTCTGGATTTGAAATTTAGGAGAAAATTGACCTACTAGTGGGGCATTTGACTGTCTTTCAGTCCAGTTCTCTTCAGCCACCCTGCTAGCTGTGTGGAAAGGCATCAAGTGGAAGGGAGGCTGTCGTCAACAATGTTGGCCCTGCCTCCTCCTCTCAGAATGTGCAGAAGCAGGGGTCATTTACCAAGAACCCATTGAGGTGAAAGCAATAACCTGTGGCTATGTCTTCCTTCCATTCTTTTCATTTCCTTTAAAAATCATTGTCTTATTTTATATTTTTCTTTATTTCTATACTTCATAAGTTAGCTCTGGATTTATTTTTTGCTTTTTCGTTTTCAAATTTCCCATCAGAGTTTCCTTAAGAGGGCTTGGGCTTTGGAATTGAACAGAACTATATTCGATTTCTTACTGGCTGTGTGTCCTTGAACAAGTTACTTTATGTCTCTGAATCCTATTTTTTTGTGTGTAAGATGAGGATAGAAATGACCCCTTCATAGGATTGTCATCAGGCTCAATAAGACATCGTACGTGAAGTGCCTATGTGGTCTCTCGCATGTAAGTAGATGCTCAGTTGAGATTGTCTGATACTGCCCTTCCCTAGGCTGGTTCAACTGGCTTGAAGCAGTGCCTAGCAGTGTGTCATGGTGCTCAGAGTCACCTGGCCCCAGGAATAAGTGACTCATCAGTTCTGACAGAGAGGTAGTTTCCTAGACCATCTGACGAAACTCTAGTCTGCTCTCTTTCTTAACTTCCCAACCAGCCAAAGTAGTGCATTCTGAATGAATTCTGTTTTTCCTGTGTATGTTTTCTTTTCTCTCCTTTTTTGTATTCCCTTTCCCTCTTTTACCTCATTTTCTTCTCTTTCTCTTTGGTGACTGACATTTTTAGACCCCTGCTTACTTCTACTTGCTGGTATCACCAAGACTAGTTCCTCATCCACCCTGTCTGTGCCATAGAATCTGGACTCTGGGAGAAGGACCCTCCTCCTGGGCAGCCTTTGCTCCTAAGACTCAAAGTGGGGTGAGCCACTCAGGGCTTTACTTGGTGCCCTGCCAGGAAATGGTTCTTTGGATGACGTGTCCTTTTTTCTTCATATGATCTTCAGAGAGATCTGTCTGAGAAGGATGTGGTGGGCCCCACAAGTAACTGTCTAGGCTATCCAAATCTCGAGTTGAGTGGCCTGTTAAAACAGGTCAGTGTCAAAAGTGATGAATAGTTTTTGTGGATTTTGAGCAAGTTGCCAATCGATCAGCTACTGTTTAATGAGAGAGAGGCACTATAAGAGGAACAAAAGCCCAGCTGGCTATTCGGGAGCCACCTGCCTTTTCTCTTTACTTCATTTTCTTGCTAATGAAGGAACCAATTGGTTTAGAGCGATCAATGCTGACCTATTAGGATCAGACATTGTTTTGGCATTGCCAAGGCAATTAAATTCAGCAGGGTGAGGATTAGAGAGAGAAAGGCTGTGAAAAAAAGAGAAACAAGAGACTTTTTATTCAGAAACAACCACTCTGATGTTAGAGGTATAAAAAGGATTATTAGTTAAAAAAGAATTAATCAGAACATTTTCTTTCGTGGTGAAATAATCAGAAGATTTGTTGACATTAGTTCTTAGATTTAGGGAGATAGAAAGCTCTGCTTCTCCCATCTGACTTAAGGTACAAACCTTTATTACTGCCCCCTTTCGTTTTTAAAGCTGTGACTCATCCAAAAAGCCTTCTCTATGAGACTGTGTCATGTAGTAGGTACTGTGACCTGTATGTGCTGGGTTTTCCAAAGCAGCTCTGCTTTTAAATAGTCTGGCCCCTCATCATTCCATTAACAGGTGATGCGATTCAGAAATTGTTAATCAGTCCATCACTGAAGACTTGATGGAGAGCGTAGTATATAAAACTCTTACGAAGGGTTCATGAGCTAATCATCTTGGCACACACACTTCTAATTCTTTCAGCCAAGCGTAATGCCTTCCACTTAGATGCTCAGTAAATATTTGAGTAAGCTGACTGACAGACTGACTGAATGAATGAATAAAATGGCAGGTCTTTAAAAACAGGTGGAATTTGAAGGCTTGGTATTCCAGGGTTAGGGAAAGAGCAGGAACAAGCATCTAAAAGCAGCACTGAGTAGAGTAAGTTAGGGAGACCATAGGTCCTTTCTAGAATGGAAGGCATCTACTAAATCAGGAGTTCTCCGACTTTTGGATTTCACCAACCTGTGCAATTTCCAAAAGTAATTTTGCTAAGTCAAAATTTTGACTGTCACTATTGTTCCATAATACCAAACTATAGAGTGGATATAATTTTGTTTAAAAATAGGACAGTTTGGGGCCAGCCCCATGGCCGAGCGGTTAAGTTCACGCGCTCTGCTGTGGCAGCCCAGGGTTTCGCTGGTTCAGATTCTGGGCACGGCCATGGCACTGCTCACCAGGCCATGTTGAGGCAGCATCCCACATGCCACAACTAGAGGGACTCACAACTAAAATATACAACTATGTACTGGGGGGAATTTGGGGAGATAAAAAGCAATAAAAAAAAAAAAAGAAGAAGAAGAAGATTGGCAACAGTTGTTAGCTCAGGTGCCAATCTTAAAAAAAAAAGTTTAAAAATAGGGCAGTTCTTTAAATTGCTTATCTTTTGCTATGTTTTACAAGTTCTATATCATTCTTTCTGTTCTGTACTAAAGAGAGCTGTGCACACAGACACAGGCCATGGCCTCTAATGTCTTCATCCTTGCAGAGTGCCTCCCTCAGAGTTGTCACTAAGGTTGCCTTTCATGGACTGCTGATGGTGTGCCCAGGAAGTGACTGGAGCTTTGCAGCCGCCACCTCATTGTAAGAAAAGTGGAGCCATGCATCAGCTTACGCACTGGTGACAGTGAAGGTGGTTCCCTACGTGTTCCTCAGAGTTGTATAACATCCTTGATTTGGAGGTGGTGTCTAGATGTCTGCATCTGGTTGATCTTTGCTTCCTCCACTGGATTCCCATGCTTTGGGGCTTGAGTTATGTGTCATCTATGGGTGTTCCTTTTTTCTTGCCCATGAAGAGCTAACTGTCTTGAATGGGGGCTACGATTTTTACTTCAGAATGCTCTCTGGGGTTTTCATTGGATAACTGCTCCTGTAATTGCCAGAGAACTTTATACCAGTGGTCTCACACCTTTTTAAATCATGGACATCATTTGTAAAGAAAATTTTGCATGTGAAAAGATGATGAACATCATTAGTCATTGAGAAAATGCAAATCAAAACTACAGTGAGACACTGCTTCATGCCCAGTAGATTACTGGAATCAAAAAGTCTGATAACAACAAGTGTTGGCAAGGTTGTAGAGAAACTGGAACCCTTGTAAACTGTTGGCAGCAATGTAAAAATGGTACAGCCACTTTTAAAACAGTCTGACAGCTCCTCAAAAAGTTAAATATGGAGTTATCATGTGACCCAGCAATTCCACTTTTAGATATATACCCAAGGGAAATGAAAATATATGTCTGTGTGAAAACTTGAACATGAATGTTCATAGCAGCATTATTCACAATAGCCAAAAGGTGGAAAAAACCCAAATGTCCATCAAAAGGTGAATGGATAAAATGTGATATAGCTATATATGGAATATTATGCAACCATTAAAAGTAATGAAGTTCTGATATATGCTACAACATGGATAAACCTTGATAACATTATGCTAAGTGAAAGAAGCCAGTCACAGAAGATCACACGTCATATTCTTCCATTTATATGAAATGTCCAGAATAGGCAAATCTATCGAGACAGAAAGTAGATTAGTGGCTGCTTAAGGGCTGGGGAGTGGGGGACTAGTGAAGTTGATAGCTAAAAGGTACAGGATTGCTTTCTGAGGTGCTGAAAATGTTCTCAAGTTGATTGTGATGATGGTTGTACACCTCTGTGGATATTCGATGAGCCATTGAATTGTATACTTTAAATGGTGAATTACATCTTACTAAAGCTGTTACAACAAAGATTTTCAAGTGGGCATCCCTGGTATAAGTATATTTATTCATCTGCAAATTATATACATGTATATATAATATACTATATATAGTATCTATATATATATATTACATTGTAAAACATACAAAAACAAACATTTTAAAAGTGTACAGTAAAGGTAATGGTGATTTAAATTCTAATATTTTCTTTTTGTAACTAATGAATCAGAATCTTACAATCTCCTGGAGTGCATGCACCCCACTTTGGAAACTGGTCTTTTTGACCACACGATAGAGATCGATGTGTGTGAGGCAAACCTATGTAGTAAGGCTCCATTTCCCAAGTCCAAAGAGCCTGATAACGGTCATACTGTGGAAGTCTCTGGCGTCTCTACGTCTCAGGGAGAACGAGAACCTTCTGTATTCTTATAGCCCAGCCCACTCAGATACATGATGACACCAGCAGAGAGGTATTTCCAATCACTACATTGTACCATCAGAAAGAACTTTGAGTGGCATGTGATGACAATCAATGATGGCCCTATAACCTCATATTTCATAATTACTACTAGAATATATTCGATATATATGTAGGACTCTACAGAGAGAGAAAGGAAAAATCCTATTCCCAACGGAATGACATAAAGCTGTATTTTTATTAAGAGCTTTGACTGACAGTATAAATCATAAATCACCAACATGAAGCTTGAGGCACCAGAAGCTAGAGAGAAAACATAACCTGTAAAATATACCATTCTGGCATAGTTTAATATTCACAGTGCCCAGTATTTTAAAGCTATCGTATACTAAATTAAGGCATCTAATTTTTTTAATTCAATATTTTCTTTTTTCAGGTGAATTAATCTTCCTGATCCTTTGTGCCGTTTCTTTATTATATCGTAACAATACTCAATTTGGGTATTTCCATATTTGAGTGAGTGGTTCTTGAAAAAGGTGGTGAATAGTTACTGTATATTTTTCATTAAATCTTTATAAACTATAAAGTCACTCTAAAGGACAGTCAGTTGTGAATGACTGTGAACACTCAATGTCTAGCACAGGGCTGTAAGTGTAGGGCCAGTGTTTAATATATGTTTATTGATGGTGATATTGATGGTGAAGGGTTAAAGGAGAGGAGAGTATTTTGAAATTTCCTGGCTCTGTTTGAAATGTACAAAGAACATGATATTGCATTTGCTTGTTTTTTGGTGCAGTAATGTATCATTAACAATTTATTGTGGTGTATCAAACCATGAAACAGACCACGTCTTGAGCATATTTCTCTGGCAGACAAAGGTGCAGATTTTATGTATCAAGTCAAAGGAAATGAAACTTTCCTAGCAAGGGTAAGCAGAAAGAAATTTGGCTCTAGATATAATATATATCTTTAAAATGTGGTGAAAATCAGTTAAAAAGATTTTTTATTAAAGCCTCACCTCTATTAATTAATCTCTATACTATAAATTATCACAGATTTCCTGCCAAAGACAGTTAAAAGATCAAGCGGTGAGTTTTGTACATTACATAGTTCTAAAAATAAATTATTATTGTACTATTCTGATTTTTCCCCTATGTTTAAAAATCTTTTTGTTAGTATAAAACCTGTGGTGTAACACAACCCAGATGTCATTCTTGAGAAAGGATGAGACAATGCGTCATAAAACACAATTTATGCAATCCCTTTAAAAATGTAGCTTTTATGATGACATTTTAATATTTCAGAAGTCATGAAGGTTTAATTTTAACTTCCAATTTAGATGATTCTTGGGTTTTGGGTATTAGTATTTATTAGAAACAGAGTCATTTCAAGGGTAAAGTTGAGAAACAGAATAGATGTTTTTATACATAAACAAAAAACTACTGGCCAAACGATTGATGGGGACTGCCGTTTTCAACACACTTCATTTGAAAAGGACCATATTGAATCTCTAAACACACTAAATTCAGTTGGTATTTTCCCTCTTAGTCAATAGGAACTCTAGCAATACAGTGCAGAGAAAGGAAAAAACTAATACACCATGTGTAGAAAATACACAAATAGCTCACTATGCCAAAGCAGCTTTGTTCCGTTTTCCTCAGTGAGAAACATAAAGCTGTAAAACAAATCATTATAAAAGTCTAAGTAGACCGTAATCCTAACAGCTAATATAGGTACTAAGTTATACCATCTTCATTTTTTCTTTTCTTAAAAAGCAAAACAAAACAACCCCTAATGTTGGAGAGCTGATGCTGCTGTCATTGTACAAGTCACATAGGAGAGGCCCCTCTCCTAGTTACCAACAACACGATCTGGCTCCAGCCAATTAAACTGTGAACCATAAAGCTGTTTCACTAAAGCAGACTTTTTTGTCGGGGCAGTTATACTAGAAGCGTTTTCTTGGCACAAAGTGCACATCTGAACATTTAAATCCAAATATGCTAACAGATGTCTCTTGAGCAAGAGCATCATAAAACCACATTTCACTTGAGTGAGGAAAATACTTTTTCCATCATTTCATATTTTTCACTTGGAGATTGCATTTCACTGTAGACGATATAGCCGTATGGACTGTGATTAGAAAGGGTATCTGAGAAGGTAGAATTGGTTCATCCTATCAGTGTGAGGTGAGCACACGCATTTCAAATCAGAGTGATGCTCCCTGCTTCTGAGAACATGGAATGCTAATGAAACAGACCATTATTTTTCTCTCCTGGTTTTCAGGCCTCTTCGCCACAAATGTCTGACACACTGAATTCGCTCTTCTCCTTTATGATTTTGCATGAATGTATTTGGCATCTGGGCAAGTCCTTGTCCCAAGAATTTAGTGGAATAGCTTATCTATTTGGCTGATTTCTCCTCTGGGTACAGGTGGAACTGAGTGAATGATGCACTTTTAGAAGGTTTCTCCTAAATCCATATGTTATATCTTGTGGCCGTTACTCATGATCTCTGTCATACTGACCAGATACCGACTGCTGAATAACGCATATTAGAGACTTGATCCCTTCATTTGGCTTTTGTCTTATAATTCTAGATTTAATGTAATGTCTCCCTACGGCAAACAAATATGTAAAGATTTTCATTCAGAAGCATAATAGTAGCTGAAAGAGAAATGTGATTTGGTTATCTAATTTGAAGTTCCTAATGAGGTGAATGTCCAAGAGAAAATTTTTAAATGCTTCACTGTTCCATCTGTCTTCAAGTGCCTTTCTTACTATGCAATATAGAATGCCGCTGTACAGGTACTGTGGATACAGAGTTTGGCTAAATGGGAAATTGAGACCAGAAACATCACCAACATGGAGTGGACTTTTGGCAAATAAGAATAAATCTGAAAATGTTTCCAAAATATAATATCATTATAATTTTAGTACATTTTTAGTAGTCAGAATTTTAAAATTTGACCTATTAATGTAGGAACCAGAAATCTCAGCACTGTC